TCTTCTCATCCCAAAATATAGTAGCGGCCTCAATCAATGCTCTGTTTGGTCGGATGTCTAACAGAGACAGCAAATTACCCAGGACCCTTCTTATGTGATTCTTGTCGCAAGGTGCGAGATTTTTCCACCAATCCAGCAGCAAAGGTGGGATGTTTTGGACCATGCCGAACCTGGGGACTTCATGCTTCATTTTCTGCAAACAAATAGAGTTAGCCTTTCCCCTCCAGATTCGACTATTTACACATTAATGATCATCATATTGGCATATTTTCTCCAAGTAATACACATAACGTGATAACGTCCATTGGGATTGTGGAAATCCCGTCGGACTTTGGACGAGGCTTGCCTTAGCGGATTATCACGCGGGCAGCGTTTTAACCCATACTAGGTTTGACATGATGCATGCACAGTTGATATTAGAGTGGGGTTTCTAGAAGAGTCTAGACTGGTACCCTCAAGCGGACAACTTGAGAGGGAAAGGCAGGGAACCGTCGACTGCATCGCTGATCGACTAGTTTTACCGCAAATGAGCCTTTCCAAATTTAAAGGGTGATTACGGAAGAGCGCAGACACTCATCAAGCACCGCTATGGTATTAATTAGGCACGAGTGGAATATGATGTGGAGCATGCTTTATGCGAAAATAAATAACACATTATCAAGTATTTGCATAATAAATAGAAAGCGATAAATACAATATTAAGGTAAAACATAAAGAATATAAAAGAAAAACAAAGGAAAAAAGTTAGTTTGCGGGATATATGAGAAGGTAATAAAGCAAGAAAGGGAGTAGGGACGGGAGAGGCATGATATAGCAATCTTTAGACGAATGAAGAGCAGTTATAGCAAATAAGGGTGAATAAGGAAGGGATATGCATGTTATAACCAATTTAAGCAAGGAAGCGTGGAGAAGGAAGGAATTTGCATATACCACGAATTCAAATGAAGGGAGAATTAGGAAGGGATGTGCGTGCAGCAATGAATTAGACAATTAAGAGGAAAAATAGGAGCGGGATGTGCATGTGGCAGCAAATAAAAGAAACACATTTTTCAGAGAAGACTAATTCATATAAGCCAAATTTGCTATGGTAAGAGCCTAAATATATCCCCAGCAGAGTCGCCATGTTGTCGTGCCCCTTTATCTCGCGAAATCGGGTTTCGACATGTGATAACTCTTTTAAGGAGGTATTAAAAGAAGAGAGTCGCCACCTAACGGTTTAAGGTGCGTTAGGATACCTATTTGCATATGACTCGAGTTTGACTAGTTTGCATAACCAAAGATCGGGTAAGGGCTCGAAATTACCTCGAAGAGAAGGTGTTAGGCACTCTTCGAGGTCCACAACTGTGGGTCCCGGCCGAACTTGAACTATATGAATTAGTCAGATAAACAAAGACAGAGAGAAACAAGAAGTTTGGGAAGTTTGATTATCAAAAGTCCACACTTAGCACATTGAGGCAAGGAACATTTGTAAGAAAGCAAGGGGGATTATGGCTTCTGGGATTATGAAATTAGTAAGCAAGGCATTATGCCAAATAAGACAAACAACATAACATTAACTTAACAGGTTTAAGCCTAAGGGTCAAATTATGCTAAACACCAGGGGTTGAACAGTGCAACTCACACCAATAAGGCAAACAGAATCAAATGTTATAGGGAACACAAGTTAAGAAACTATTCTAAAAGGTTCCAACTAGTTGCTAGGGAGTACAGAGTTGGGTAGGGTAAGGACATACTAAGTGATAAAATGATCATAAGAGCAAATCATAGCTAGAATGAAGGTTTTAACATGGATTGGGGCATATCACAGCTACAAGTCAATCGCTATAGAAATCCAGGACAAGGCAGAAAACAAATTGATGTCATATAACCAATATAAACACTCAAAGTACCAATACATTAAGCTAAACGAACTTCAAACAGTCTAAATTGCTCAAGTTAAACACAAATACATTTTAGAACTGACAATTTAGGCATGAGCAAATGCTAGAGAGGTTCATATTATAAGCAGAGTTACACATAGAGATAGTCTAGTAACACATTAGGTTATGTAATTTTAGAGGCATAAACATGCTAATCAGGAACATAAGAGACTGAACATTGCAAAGGCTAAAGAACTCACCCGTTACTGATTGACAAGTAGACAAACAAGAAAAAGAACAGAGTCACTTTGAATGTCAACAAAGCAGTATAACCCAGGATCTTAGATGCGTCAAGTTCCCAAGGGCTTCGAGGAACCCAGGGCAATGCTCACACCCAAGAAAGGTCGAAAAAATAAGAATTTCGGTGGCCTTGGCTTTCAGCCGGCCAAGAGCCAAAGTAGAAGAAGAGAATAAGCGAACAACAAAGTGAAGATCTTTAGCTTTTTAATGGATTTTTTTTTTGATTAAAAGTCTGTCCAAAAGGGAATGGGGGAGGGGTTTATATAGAAGTCAAAATCGAGCAAACATATAAGGAAACAGAATAATTTAAGCAACAAACAAGGAAAAAACATGCAAATCGATTTGAAATCAACTTAAGAGAGAAAATCTGTAAACCCTAGTTTTTTATGGAAAGTGTAAATCAACAGAATCCTAACAAAATCGAACTCACATAGTATAATATTGAACGTATATAGACGAAATAGTGCTCCGAATCAAAGATTTGAACCACTTTGGTTCGATTCCGGAAGGTATTGCTTGCCATGTTTAGGCAAGCACCTAGGTAGCACCACAAACGGGCAACCAGTACCAAAAGGATTCAAATACGGCAAGAGAATACCATTATCAGCGGGATTGGGAGAGGGATTTAGGAGGAGGCGGCTAGGGTTCTTCAGAAGAGAGAATAAGAGAGTTGAGCGTTTAAGGGCGGCGGATTAAGGGGAAATGGGTAGGGTTTTGGGTTAGGTTAATTTAAAAAATGGGAGTGAACGATGACCGTTGATCTCTCGACCGTTGATCTTGAGAGATCAACGGCTGGGATCAAAAAATTGAAAAGACGGGTCGTTTAGAAGCGGGTCGCGATCGGGTTTTAGTAGGGGGTTATTTGGTTTGGGCTTAGGGTAATATGGCTCGATATTTTAGTGTTTGGGCCATTCATTTAGTCCGAAATTGGTTTAAAAATTGGGCTGTTGTTTAAATACCCAAAATTTATCAAAATAAAATATAATAATGCTTAATAAAAAATATTATTTATGCACTAAAATGATTAACAATAATAAATCAACATTATAAAAAATATAAAAATGCTATTTTGGAACAAATAATGTAATTATACATGAATGTAGGCTATTATTGCAAAAATGTGTAATTAGTATAAAAATGCAAAAATGCAATTATAGAAAACGAAGTAAAATATTATAAAACATACATGTTGGTATAAATAATAAGTTTGGATGATTAAGTCATCACAAAATAATTTAAGGATAATTACTAGATATTCATATGATAAAAATGTATTAGAAATCAATTTAGAGCTTTAAAAATTATAGAAAATGCTTGTATAGGTTTGTAAACTAAATGATGATGTAAATATGCTATTTTGAAAGTATATATGCATTTTAAGAATATGAGGGAAAAATTGGGTATCAACACTCTCTTCGCACGACCAAGACTGGATATCTACATTAGGTAAACCAAGAACATGTACGAGTTTGACTCTCACAGTGTTGTGAAGAGCGTGAAGCGAGGAAAAGCGACAACCCCCTTTTCGCTTAAAGCGAGAAGCGAAGCGCTCGCTTTTTTGAAGTGAAGGGTAATTTTTAAAAAAATATTAAAATAAATATTGCATAGACAACACATACAACTGTAAGCAAAAATAAGAGGAAGGGCAGTATACCGTTCCAGTAAAAAATGGGCAGCATTTCAAACGAAAAAACAGCGCAAGAAAATGAAGAAGAAGAAGAAGAGGAGAATAATGAGAAAGAAGAACTGAAGGGAAAAAAAAAATTCGCCAGCATTTTGCTGCTATTTGGACGCTGAAACAGTGAAAGAAAAAGAAAAAGAAGGAGGAGGAGGAGGAGAAAAAGAAATCACATACCTGGACCAAACTTGATGATCTTGAAGTTGAAAAGTGTAGAAAACTTGAACCTTAGTCGCCTCTTTCTTTCTCTGTTGCTGCTGGTCGATATGTTTTAAAAAAAGAACATCTTTTTTAATTAAATAGGTTGGCAGCCCTTTAAAACAGAGAAGCGCTCGCTTCTTACGCATCGCTTCGCATCGTCGCTTCTCGCTTTTTAGTGGGAAGCGAACGCTTTTGAATACCTGCTACGCTTCAGATAGCAGAAGCGCTCGATGGGTCGCTTCGCTTCGCTTCTCGCTTTAAGCGAGGAAGCGCCGCTTTCACAACACTGGACTCTCGTACCATGTAAAGAAAATGGACATTGAGACTAACTCAACCTCAGCTCGCTCATGAGGTGATGATTGTCTAAATCCATATAAGAAGGCAACAACTCATTTCCTCGATCAATGTAAGACACTTAACAGAATAAGATTGGTTAAGCTTTAATATTTCTATATCCCATCCTTCCTTTCTTTCTTTCTTTTGTTGGTCAGTAGTATTACAGGTCTGATTCTCTACTTTCACCAAGTCAATCTTTTATTGTTGAAAATCAAATACAGACCGGAGGCCTATGTTGCGCGAACTCTCCAAAATGATGCCGCATCCGTGTCGGATCCTCCAAAAGTACACTATTTTTAGAGGATCCGACACGCACCTGGCAACATTTTTGGAGAGTCCGAGCAACATAGCAAGAGGCACATGGAATTCTGAGAGTTCCACTAGATGAACTTGGAGAGCTCAACACAGTGGCATTGTAGTTAATGTGTACACTCAACCGTAGTTTACATATTATTGCTTATTTTTCTTCAGGAAATTGGAGTTACAAAGTCGCAAATATCGACTCAAATTCAACCCAGTTTCCCTGTCTTAGGAACTTTTCTGGGTTGGTGAGAGATAAAAACCAACAACAATTCTTAAACAGACAGCCATTTGATTTTAACATCTAGTACAGTACAAGAACAATATAAAACCATAAAAATAACTGAGGAACCAAGAAAAGGATTCTTACTTCACATCAAAAACTATCAGGAAAACCCAATACTGGAAATACATTAATATAGACATAAATGTAAATCGAGGATAATTGCTAGGTCATTACTGATCTTTTACATTTATGTTCACAATGGTTTTTCGTGCTAAGTATCAATGCTCCATATTCTTCATTTATTTCCTGAATCTCGTAAGGCGGGGTTCAAAAGCTACAGAAATTAGGCATTTATCGTACAATTCTTCAGATGAGCTACAAACATCTTCACCTACAGCCTACACTCGTGTTTCCCCCACCATCTCTTTCCGTAACTTCTCAAACTAACTATTCATCGCTGGACCAACAAACACTACTGCCGAGTTTGATTTGTGGACGATGTCCGACAATCATACCTTTGATGTTTGAGATCCGGGGGGCAAGAAAGGCTCCCACCAACCCGATTCATACTTCGGGTATGGTGCTGTCCATTTTTCTGGCTTTTCAAACTCAAGATTAACAGGACTACATGCCAAAGCTTCTTCTAAAGTGTCAGCGTCAAAGCTCTCTTGTAAAACTCTATCTAACCTCAATTTCATGAATCTGCAAGTTCCGAATAAACAAATCAGGAGAAATATAGAAAAGTAGCAAATTTTGTCCTCCTACCTATGCTGCGGACTATCCAAAATGATGTCGCGCCCGTATCGGATCCTCCAAAAATACAATACTTCTGAAGGATCCGATACGCATTTGGCGACATTTTCGGAGAGTCCAAGCAATATGGCCTTCTACTATACAAAATATCTTAATTTTACTATCTGTTATACTTTGGGGTTATTCATACCCTTGACGTCTGCAAATAATCTCGTATGCCCTTGATTTTAATAACGCTCCAGCATGGATTGGGTGGATTCTACGTGTCAAGATGTTTCCGTTAGGATCAAGGGCAAATATGAGACAAATTGCTAACTACAAGGATATGAACAACCTCAAAGTATAATGGAGCATAAAATTAAGATACGATATACTCCCTCCGTCCCAATTTATGTGGACCAAGTATAAATTGGGATGGGGGGTATAGTAGAGAATTATTTTTTGACCCCTTCCTGTGATTATAACTTGCTTTTTAAAGACAGATTTTCTGCAATCTTTTGACAATCCAGACGGACTGGAAAATGGAGTAATTATTGTCTCAAAATATTTAAAGATGAGTGCCCCTTACGTGATCCACGGGCCATTTGTTGAAACAAGAGCTACAGCGGGTCTCTTCAGTCTCTTGGTAATATTAGGGAATTTATCCAAGAACTTGGGCTCAATTACAAGCCAGAAATCCTGTTCTTTGTTGCGCTCTCCGAAAAGGCGAAGACGTTCAAACAATTGCTCCTGGAAATGCTCCTCTTCGTCCAGCATAAATTTGGCATTTGCAACAAGAAAATAGTATTTCTTCCTTTCTGTCTCTTGCTGTATATGCAACAGAAACCAGCATTAATGTTCCGGACACCAAAACTAAAGCAAATGGCCTAAGGAAACTCAACCGATCATCGTATAACTGAAATGTGCAAAGGCAAATGTAGACATGACATGGAGGACGTTTCTACTACTAGAAGTCTTAGCCAAATAGGGAGTTATCTAAATTTTTGTCTTTTCCTTCACAGGAATAACCCGTGCTAGATTACCAGCACAAATACTCATCAGCAACTGTGAGCAGAGCTAGAAAAGAACAAACACCACTCATCTTTTTATCGATGGTTATTGAAACTTAAGACTATTTCCGAAACTGCTATCGCTACAGTGTCTTAAGGGCACCCAGTGGTGGAACCACGTTGACCCAAGGGTGGTCCATTGAACCGGCTTGGCTAGAAATTTACATTGTGCAAAGGTGAAATCTTATTCTAATTGTACATATATTGATTGTTGAATCCCATTAACATGTGTAAAATTTCTATTGCAATGGCAAACGGAGTTCAAAAAACGTCTTAGGTCAATGCGCACCATTATCCATATTGTCTAAAGCGGAGCTAATGAATAGGATAAAAACAATCAATGCAAGCAAGCAATTGACAACTTTACACTCAAGTGGCCAAAAAAGGACAATGTAGAATTTCCTCATCACTACTCCTTCAGGAAAAAGGGTTCAGACTTAGAATAAATACATATATTTTTTTCAAAAGAATTCGATTATATAGCTTGAGGACCTCAAATATACACTAGCCACGAACATGAAGTAATTTCTTTTTATAACAACAGGGTCCGCGCCAGCTTAAGTAGTTGCTAATTCACATCAGCATAGTTACATGGTAACACTGTTTGGATATATACTATTAACCATGGATTTTAGTTTGGATATAGTATTTATTATGGAACAACTGTTTATTCAATTTTAATAAAGTTTTAAATACATCATATATTTGTTTGTGTCATTTACTTATATAGTAGATGATTTAGTGTATAGAGTTTAGCTTATACACGGAAGATTAAATCATCGGTTCTTATAAGCATAAAGATCATGTTCACAATTTAAGGATGGAATTGGACAAACCATCAGGAATGATTGTAGCACAAGATTAAATATAATTTATCTTGATTATGGGAATGGTTTAATTTCGACTTCTTGTGCTAGTACATTTTGTATGTATTGAACGGACCAAGTAGAGATAAGTATTTTATACTGACTTAATAAAATAAACTCTCTAGCCATTAAATGTACTTATGCTCTTAATCTTGATATAATTATTATTAGTTGTGTATATTATTATTGTTTTGATTTATTAAAAGGCGAGATTCTTTCGTGGATCAATATGCCTGGTAAATTGGACAATAATGATATACATAGGCAAAGTAATAGTTAGTTGATGGAATCCATGTCTCGGTCTAGAGATTGATGATGCACCTCTATGAAAGCTTATAAGTTTTCATGTGTAAACCCTGCAGGTGGATTTTGTATCCGTCACATGAAATAAGTTAAGCGAAAGTCTAAAGGAAATAATCAATGAATTAAATTGTCAGTAATTTAATTTATTTGATTAGTATCTGAATCTTAACATGGGGAGTTAAATAAGATTTAATGGAAGAATTTCGAAATTGAACTGAGGAGTGCAGTTACGAATTTATAGTGGAATAATTCGTAATTTTGTTATGGTACTATTAATTCGAATATTTCGAATTAAGTCCATAATAGGAAGCCTCGTTAATTAAATACTGCGGTCCCTGCTGTGCCCGAATAATTAGGAATTAAATGGAATCCTATTTCTTGGTGGAAATGGAAGACCCAACAGGTTTAGGAAAAGGGGTTTAAACCCTAAAACCTGTGGCTATATAAAGGGGTCTTATTCCATAAGGAGGCAAGGTTTTTACTACATGCTTTTCCAAGGAGAAATTCGCCCACACGAATTTCGCTAATTCCAGGCATTATTCGGGTCACACAGCAGAAGATTGTGGAACTGGAGGATTATCTCGTGAACGGTTTCGTTCTTGCTTGGAGGCTTCTCGCGATCGCGGTCACGCTTCAAGAGATAAGTATCGATTTTATGTTCGATTAAAATCTGTGATTATGTGTTGTCTATATTACATGCAAGTGATCCTGGCTATTTGCTTCCGCTGTTCATACCTGTTTTCCAACAAACACTACCCCTAAAGTTTAGACAGATGGAAAAATTCACCTAGCCTTTTTTGTCTCTATTGGCCCACAGTTTTCACTCCTTTCATTCACCCCTAGGCCGCGAAGTAGATCATTGACGTGTAAACTCATGTAAACAAAAACTTTACAAGATATACTTTCATAGAAATAGTGACATGAAAAACGAAGCCATTTTTGTAACAATACAGAACATGTGAACCAATTTCCTAATTCCCCACAGTTCCAAAGCCAAAATCTTACAAGTATAAAAAGGGAATAAGCAAAACCTTTGCAGCAGGATCAGAGGAATTAACACCAAGGTTATAGAAAAAAAATTATTGACTTCTACATTCATGTAAATGAAGACTGTACATTCCATACTTTTCATAGAAATATTGGACATGAATAGCATTCAAAAGAAACCATTTTTGTAACAACAGAGAGCATGTCAACCAATTTCCTATTTTCCCCACAATTCCAAAGTTAAAGCTTACATTACGGTCAATGAAGTGGGTTGAGAACAATAAAGTCTCGGGTTCAAATCACAACGAAGGCAAAAATACTAGGTGATTTTTTTTCAAGAAGTCCAAACCTTGGTGGACAAATTTACTTGGTACCTATGCTAGTGGGAGTTAGCTGGTACAGGGCCAAAACTATGTATGGCCAAAGATGGCCAACTGAACACCCTCCGCCAAAAAATTATACTATCTATAGGATAAAATATTACTTATTATTGATTAAAAAATAAACTTTGAACACCCTTGCATAGTCCACTGGCAAAATTTTCTGGCTTTGCCATTGAGTAGGTAACCTTAGGAATTAGCCGAGGTGTGGGCAAGCTGGTCCGGATACCACGGATATTAAAAAAAGAAGTTAAACTTAAATTCTTGAAAATATATAAAAAAGGAATAAGCAAAACCTTTTCAGCAGGATCAGAGGAATCAACAGCAGCAACAGCACTCTTCATATTTCTGCTTCCATTGAAACCCTTGAGAACAGTATTGGGTGATGCCAAGAATTGCAGAGATTGAGTACCATGTAAAAGCAGAGAAGGTTTATAAGAATAATGGGTCGGCAAATTCACAACCGAACTGCATAATGAACCAAGATTTAGAGCTGTTGAAGCTGACATTGTTAACCAAGAATCAATGTGTTAAGGTTTTGCTCTCTCTGTAATGGAAAGTGCCAGGTGGGAAAATAAACCAATCTTATCTAACCCCCCTTATCCTACTTTTTTTATTTTTTCAAATTAAATCCCTCCAGTTTACATATTTTATAACATTTAGCCCTTAGCTTACAATTGGTTACCACTTTGTATTTTATTTTTACTTCATTCAAATGATACTTTATATACCGTTGAAGACATAGTTAAGTAAATAAAAAATTGCTCTCTCTAACAGTTTAAACTTTTAGATGAGATGGTCACACACTTCAACATGGTATTGAAGCAGGTATAGGTCCTGGATTCGAGTCTCGCTGCCACCCAATATTAAAAAGAATTTTCACGTGCTTGACTCATCAAAAAAGATCAAGCCCGCACGTGAGGGGACGTGTTGAAGATATAATTAAGTAAATTAAAGTGTGCTCTCTCTAACAGATTAAGCTTTTAGATGATATGATCACAGATTTCAACATATACATAGAGATAATTGAACTTTTGTTCAATCAGTTATTGGTAAATTTTGATTTGATCTTCGTAATTACGTATTAACCCTCAAGTAACGAAAACATGTATTGTTTGGTGCCTCTATATGAGAAATATATAGTTATATACTAATATTTTGGACTATTTTAGAACTATGTTACAATTAAATACAGAGTAATAAAAAAAATTTAACACAACATATTGGTTGCGAAGATTAAATGATCAAAAGCACACATATTAATTTCTTGACAGGAAAATGTGTTTAATTATCAATTACAATAATCAAAACCAGAATTTATCGATATTTAAGGGACTAAAAGTGTAACTTTTTGTTATATATAATCATTTTTAGTCCAGAGTATTCTATTATACTTCACCCGATTTTTCGGTAAATACTTACCCGCATCGGGCGTTTACGCCTAACCAAACAAATAACATTAAGAATCAAGAATCAAGGTGAAAATGCATACCACTTAACTATGGTTAAGTATTTTTTTTCCCGCAATAACTGTTAAAATTACCATTGCCAAAAATAAAACAGTAAACTAAGAACCAAGTTGGGTGCTTAGGCCTCCAACAAAAAACTAATTACATAATCTCTGAATTAAAAAAAAATACACCCGTGAGCTTTCTTGGATGACTCCTCCTTGAGTTGTCTCAAATGTCTAATTTCCATCCATTTTAAGCTCTGCATCATCCAAGGAAGGAGAGGCTTTCAGCAACGGTAAAGTTGTCTCCGTGTGAGCTATATATCTTTGAGCCGTGAAATCAGCCACGAGGATAGGTTGCCTACAAGGGGGTGCGGACCTTCTCGGACCCTGCGTAAACGTCTCCTGATAGACAAACCAATCCAGTCTGCTAGGCCATTTTTCACTTCTGCTATCCAGCTACATTCATAGAATAGATGTTGCTGTGTTTCGACAAGCAAGTCATCACATAGGCACAATAAGTCTGCTACTTTGCATCTGGACATGTTATATTTCATTGCAATATAGCTTCTGCTGACTGAGTATTTGCATGTTGGAGTCAGCAGATACTTCCCATCCAAATACCACTCAATTATTCCAGTCTTTATGTCATTAAGTTTCTTCCAATGAACAGTTCAAAAATATAAAAATTTCGCCTTTTTGGGATGGAGTAACAGAATATAGTGCCTATAAAATGAAAAGCAGGAATAATATTGATAGCGCCGGAGAGTTGTGAATTCATAGTAAATTGGATTTCAGTAAGAATTATTTTTAAAAGGAAAAAGAAGAGTACTAGCTAATTGTATAAGCATTTCTTGAGCCATGTTGTTACAAAAGACAGTAAGTGAAAACAACATGAACGTATTCTTAGTTCCCTATCAAAACATTAAAGCCCACTAAATTTTATGAGCTTATGCTATGGTGACAGGAATTTCAGAGGACATTCACGATTTAGTATATGCAGTCTAATTTTCCGGCAAAATTGTTTGACTGACCACCCTTGAGCCTATGTGGTTCCGCGGATTGAGCTGATGATGCAGTAGGCATTTCATACCATTGGTAGTATGAAATGAGATAAAGATTCAATCTGATGGATGTAATGAAGAACCTGAAAGAGAAGGTATACAGCTAACTGCATTACACTCTCAATCACTTAACCATTGAAGAATAAATGCAGCAAGTCATTTATGTAGCCAAAAAAAAATGGAGAAAGGTTAATATGGGAAAAGAGTGAAGTCTTCACACTACATAAGACTAGTCATTCTACTGAGATTGAAGATGGAATAAAGTATGAAAGAGATACAAGAAAAAGTCAAGAAGGCGTAGCCAATAATCAAATTATATGATGATTTATTTTGGCCATCCGGTGACAAGTAATACACTTCTTTAGCCAAAGACTAGAAATTGTTACTAAAAAAATAGGGCTTCGAAACCTCTTCCTGTAGAAAATAAACAAAAGGAAAATACTAACAAAATCCAAAGTTCAGGAGAAGATCAATTTTTTCATCCTCAAAGACACCAAAGAGAACGAGCATCAAAAGCATCAGATATGAAATTAGTATGAGAAAACAACCCCAGCAGTTCACAAGATAAATGATATAACAAGTCTTCTTCACAATTGATACTTAAAAATGAGCCAAGAGGTTTCGGGCTAGAGTTCTGGGAATGGACAAACCCCTGGTAAAGAACAATTTCCCCTTAAATGGGGCATATGCGCGTGCGAATCTGAATTAGTCGAGTCTTTAGGTTGCGAATACCAAATGGTTATTTCTCCTATTAAGAGTGCAATAACATTTGATTTCTACAATAAAGAAGACTGGGAAATAATCAACGTAATAAAATTGATGTACCTCCTCAATAGGCATGCTTGGAAAGCTCGAGAAATGTTCTAATTGCATTTTTTTCCAGATTATGTGATTGCATCAGATGCGATTTCTTTTGAGAGGTAAAAGGAAATTGTATCGCGGTGATAGTGTAGCCGGATAAACCAAGCGAAAGAAATATTCACTTGTTATTTTTCAAGTGAAGCTCTGGTATCATGTCAAGGACAGAAGGATTCTCCCTTATAACATTTACCAATAACGCAGTTGTAGTTGCATCAAATGAGAATTTCCTTCCAGCCATTTCCTTCATAAAAGTTGTCATTTCACTAATTCTGTTGCACCTGAGAAATCCTTGAGCAATAACGTTGTAAGTGATACTGTTTGGCAAACAACCATCGTTCTCCATTTTTCTTAGCATATCTTTAGCTTCATCTAACAACCCTTCAAGACAAAGTCCATTTATCATTGTATTGTATGTTCTCATATTCGGAAGCAATCCAATAAAAGAAAGCTTCTCAAAAATAGCATGAGCTTTGTCAAGTTTTCTATTTTTGCACAATCCATTAATGACAACATTGTAAAATTCAATATCAACATTTTCTCTCTTTCTTTCCAACTCATTAAAGAGTGACATAGCTTCTTCAACAAGTCCATACTTAAAATAACCCTCGAGTAAAGTGCAATGAATGTATAAATTAGGTACAGGCCCCGTAGATAGCATCTCATCAAAGAACTTTTTTGCAGAGCCAATCTGTCCAACTTCAAACAGAACTTGCAAGATGGTATTGTAGGTAACAATATTAGGCTTTGATCCCTTTTGGAAAATTTCATGAAACAATTGCATAGCCTCGTCCAACTTCTTTTTCTTGCAGTATCCCTTTATTAGTGTGGTATAGCTAATAATGTCAGGCTCAATGCACTTATTTATCATGAAATCGAAAATTCTCCTCGCTCTATCCATTTGACCACGCAAACAATATCCATCCATTATCACATTGTAAGTAAATATATTAGGCTCTACACTTTTTTCATTCATATGTCTCATTACTTCCTCGGCGTCTTCAACTTTCCCTTCTTTGCATAGTCCATCAATCATTATGTTGAAGGTGTGCATATCTGGATAAATATTATGATTTACCATCTCAGAGAACAAAATCCTAACCTTTTCCCACTGACCAAACTTACACAAACCATCAATTAATGAATTATATGTGATTATGTTTGGGCGAATGCCTTTCTTATTCATCTCGTTCAAAAGGCTGATAGCAGCATCTAAGTTTCTATCTTTGCAAAGGGAATCTATGACAATGTTGTAGTTACATATGTTCGGCTTAATGTTCCCTTGTTCCATTAACCAGAACAAACTTAAAGTCTTCTCACTATGACCCTTTTTGCTGAGACCATTCATGACGGTTCCATACATGACTTCATTAGGCTCACAAATCTTCTCTCTCACCAACTTTTTGAACAAGTCAACTGCATCTTTGACCTTATTTTCAGCAAAGATTCCCCTAATTAGGGTGGTAAAGGTTACAACATCAAACGGAATGCCTTTCTTCAAGTAAATGGCTAACACCGAAAATCCACAATCAACATGATGCATCAGACAATAACTGTTAATCACGATATTCAAGATGAAATCATTAATAGGGATACCCAATTTCTGCATTTCTCGAAAAAGAGAAACAACAGCAGAGTAATGCTTCATAGTTAGGATGGTCTTAAGTAATTTAGAGAAATCGAAATCAGAAGGAAGAGGTTGCATCCTAACCATTTGATGGAAGAGACTAACAGCATCATCTAAACATTTCACGTTCTCAAAGTTGTTATTTACCCCAAATTTACCCTTTTCAGAAATGGACATATTACTATGATTTGAAGAATAAACTCTAACAGTAGTTGCACGGGAAATAGCAAAGAAAGAGATAAAGGGAATACCATTGCGAGAAATTCTCCTCATCTTCAGCTCAGGTATCTCTCTCAACTGAATTGGTGTGCCCTAATTTTGCAGGTAACATATACCCTTCGTTAAAATTTGGTATCAATTTTGTCTTTGCCGTGTAAGTATCGAACTACTTATATCCTTATTCGCTAACAGAAATCCACATAAGCTGTCACATTTGGAAAATAATCCCACATATTATAAACCCGACCCAACCTCCTTTAACCTGACCCGAACCAAATAGACCCACATTTAAAGTTAAAACGAATTTGACCCCTCATTTTTTTATCGGGTTTACTGGTTCCGGGCTTCCCCGTTGCTAGATTTAACCGGAACAGTTTCGGTCCTAATGGGCCGCCGGGCCGGCCAATTTTATTTAATTTTTTTTTATGTATTTTGTATAACAATCGTAATTTATATTAAGATAAGTAAAAATATAAAACACTAAAAACTAACGTATAAAAAGAATGTTTGAAGAAACTTCAAAGGCTTTCATTTCATATTTTCATTGCATAATAATACTTCAAATTTAACTTATCTAACAAACTAAACATTAAGCTTAAATAAGTCTAATAGTTTTAAAATAACACAAATTGTCTCCAATCAACTTAAAATCTTAATACGAATTTCTGGAGGACGCTCAAGACAACTCTTCATATGCCTCCTTAAACAGCCTGTGGCATCCCACTTTCGACGAACATTTAAGACTTGACCACAGTTCTTGCACTCTACTTTGCGAACTTCTTCATTTTCTCCTACCACCACAAAGCGTTCCCAAACATATGAGTGCACTCTAGAAGCACGGGGCATGATTTAACTTGAATTTGAGAATTTGGATTTGAGAATTGAGAGATGAGTGAAGAAATGAAGAAGAGGGGGGTCTATTTATAGTTTTTCAAAGGGCTAATTAGTAAATAATAAAAGTATTATTTTTGAAAGCCCAAAAAGGGCTATTCTTACAAATTAACCATTGGTCAACTTGTCTCGCGCCCCTAGGTATTCTCTACCTACCCACCTGTGTCGGTTTCGGGTAGGGTCAAAATGGCAGCTGACCATTGTCAACGGCCAACATTATAAAGTAAAAAAAATTAAAAAATTTAACTTAGTCGTCGAACCGGTCCGGGCCGGTCCGATTAACCGATTAAAAAATGACATGACATTACCGGGTGGTACCGGTCTGGTTAAACTGTATCAAACCCGGCACAAGCCGGTTCCTGTCCCAATCCAGCCCTCCCCGGCCCGCTTACTACCAGCCCAGGCCAGCCCGACCCGTTTGACACCTTTACTTCGAACCAAGTGTCCGATTCAAGCCTAACCAATCCGGAATGAACCCAAATTTTGCATACAAGTTCCAAATGACATATCAAATCTATTCCAACTCCCGAAATAACAACCCGAGCCCGATAACATCAAAGTCAACTCTCGGTCAAACTTATGAACATTCCAAACCTTCAAATTTCCAACTTTCGTCAATGAGTGTCGAAACCTTCTAGAAATATCCAAATGCAAATCGGGGCATATGCCCAAGTCCAAAATCACCATCCGGACCTAATGGAACCATAAAAACTCCGATCTGAAGTCAAATACTCAAAAGTCAAACTTGGTCAACTCTTCCAACTTAAAGCTCCCTTGTTGAGAATCATTCTTCTAAACTAATTTTGAATCACCCGAAAACCGAAATCGACGATACACACGAGTCATACTACATGATACGGAGCTACTCATGCCCTTAATCCAACGAGCGAAGTACAAATACTCAAAACAACGGGTCGGGTCGTTACATCCTCCCCCACTTAAACATACGTTCGACCTCGAACGTGCCTAGAGTCGTTCCAAAGCCATCGAATCGCCGTGTAATCTTACCATGCACGTACCCGAGAGTGATCCCACGTCACCCCTATTCATAATAGTCGAACCGATCCGGGCCGGTCCGATTAACCGATTAAAAAATGACATGACATTACCGGGTGGTACCGATCTGGTTAAACTGTATTAAACCCGGCACAAGCCGGTTCTTGTCCCAATCCAGCCCTCCCCGGCCCGCTTACTACCAGCCCGGGCCAGCACGACCCGTTTGACACCTTCACTTCGAACCAAGTGTCCGATTCAAGCCTAACCAATCCGGAATGAACCCAAATTTTGCATACAAGTTCCAAATGACATATCAAATCTATTCCAACTCCCGAAACAACAACCCGAGCCCGATAACATCGAAGTCAACTCTCGGTCAAACTTATGAACATTCCAAACCTTCAAATTTCCAACTTTCGTCAATGAGCGCCGAAACCTTCTAGAAATATCCAAATGCAAATCCGGGCATATGCCCAAGTCCAATATCACCATCCAGACCTAATGGAACCATAAAAACTCCGATCTGAAGTCAAATACTCAAAAGTCAAACTTGGTCAACTCTTCCAACTTAAAGCTCCCTTGTTGAGAATCATTCTTCCAAACTAATTTTGAATCACCCGAAAACCGAAATCGACGATACACACAAGTCATACTACATGATACGGAGCTACTCATGCCCTTAATCCAACGAGCAAGTACAAATACTCAAAACAACGGGTCGGGTCGTTACATCCTCCCCCACTTAAACATACGTTCGACCTCGAACGTGCCAAGAGTCGTTCCAAAGCCATCGAATCGCCGTGTAATCTTACCATGCACGTACCCGAGAGTGATCCCACGTCACCCCTATTCATAATAGTCTGATAGCACAAAATAACTGAAGATCCTTAATTCAACCTTAGTCCATAAGCCTTAGAACCCAATTTCCAATATCCGCAATCCTTACAAGACCCGAATCCCGTACCTACACACTGGATAAATACAAACAAGCTATCTCAAGCCATAACCATGACCCAAGATGAAATCGCATGATATACCACACATCGTGCATACTCTTAGCAATAATTTTCGATCACAGTAACTGCTCAAAACAAAACAGGTACCGGTAATAAACCTCATATCAAATAAACTCTCGTTCCAAAACCTTCGTTTACTGCCGATGATGAAAGAAACACGCAGAAACTCATAACCACTTTTCAAATCAACAAGTCATGGATCCCCATCTTGTCCAACGAGAACCAAGGTCAAATCCTAAGCCGACTTCCGATGTTATTCCTCCATACATACTTGTAATCAAGTCCGATAGTACCCATTCTAGATCCAATGACCTTATCTCATCAAACATAATCATTCTATCGATATGCCACACCAATACAACCAAAAGCCACAAACCGTGAAAGCCATGCACCAATAAGCAACAATTTAGATGCACCAAAAAAATGGAAAATGACTCAAATGAGAGAACTATCCCTCAAGCTCAACAAGTACCACCACAACTGCAATGCTATGAACCCATCATACATAGCAGAACTAAGACATACAAATCTAACACAAGGATCATATCCCAACACAACTTTGTTGCGATGCGTGACCCCATCTAAACACCGATCCTATGAAATACCTCAAGTCCTAATGCTCAAAATCAACAACCACGCGCAATTCGACATCACTTACACAAAGTGCATGATCATAACCATGGAGAAGCAAATAACACCATATATCACAGCTCGGAAAGACCATAACCACGACGCAATCAACCATTCAATACCCCAATAACCGTCTCTCTTGAGTTTTGCCAAAGGCCCAAATAGAACCGCACCATGTGTGCATATAACCAATGAATCACAACTCCTCGTAGCATAGAAGAATAACACATAGAACATATCAGAACACGAACAAGCTCAACTCTAACCGAATGACACACCTTTCAGCAATAACAATGTTGGACAACAAATTCGACCCGATATAGAATACACATCCTCCTCGAGCCTACCAATGCGCCCTCAAACCAACTCCAGTCATCCCCAAATGGATAAATAGCCCTCCAAAAGTCCACAATGATCCAATCATAACATGTACCACCATCTAGATAACTTTGGCCACATCTTCACAATCCGTAACCACGAAATAAGCTGCTTCTGAGGACCCCAGTCTCCAAATCCATAGAACACATGAATCACAATAGCCAATCCCAAATCCACCACTCGAATGACTAACACATCTCTCATACGTAATCATTCCCACAAGAAATACCTCTATAATTCTTCCGTGCCACATAGCAAAATCTGAACATCAGCAGTCGATCAATTAGGCGAGTACCGCAATATCACTGAAGCATCTGTAAGTAAAAACACAATGTACCTTCTGAAATGCGCACCCTTCTCAGGCAATACCAAGTAGAAATAGTGAAAGTAGAAATAGCATTCACTAAACGTCTGAATTCATCCATATTATTCAAAATCCATGACCTTCCCTCCAAAACTGAACCGTCACCTTCATGCGAATCTCAATCCCATATAAAGCACATATATCATGCCATCATATAAAAAGTACGAGAATCTCATAATCAACTCTGATTTACCAGCAGAATAAACACCCGATTAGTTAAAAACCTTCAATTTGACCCCATCCAAGAGAAAATCACAATACGCAACATGCTCCTCATGCCGGTAGGAAGTATCCATCTCAAACCGTGATAAAAACCATCGAGTACTCTTCGAAACCCATTTGCACGTAACCAAGCCATCAGAACTGAATCTCTCTAACTCAACCAAGCCAAGCAAGTCGTCAAACCCAAGAGTATTGCCGCTAAAACACCTGTAGAGCCTCACCACATCATAAGTACCCAAAGAACCGATCACATCCATTTCCGTGTTGATATAACCTACTATCAAGTTGTCCTACTTCTCCGAGTTCCTTCCAAATTACCCTTAAGTTGACACTTCTCCTCGCCAGTTACCCAAAGCTCACCACAAGAGATCCTAGCATAAAAACACACTGCCCTAAGGCCCATAAGCCGTTGTATTCCCTCTTAAGCACCCCAAAAGTACCACAACCGAGATACCCACTCTGAAGAGACCTTCTATGAATCCAAATCCATTTTTTTACCTTCGTAATACTGAAATGTAGAATCCGTAATGATATATAAATACTGCAAGTCTCGACACCATACAATGTAAATCTCAGATTCTAGCCATATACAAATCCGAAAAATTCTCAATTGCTATATATAAATCTTGAATCCATTAGAACCTTCTCGAG